TAGAGTGAGTAAGCCTGAGTGGAACTTTGGTATTCACCACCACCCCTCCACCAAAGTAGTTCAAGTTGTCAGTAATGTTTTTCTTCAAAAATTATCAGTTTCTCATAAGGTTTCTGTTCTTTTCTCCTGAAACCCTTAACATAGGGCAAGCTCCTTTATTCACTTCCTAGGTTTTTGTTAAACAAAATTGAGAACTGTGAATGAAACTGTCTCATCACTTAACAGAGGTAAAAGCCTCTCCCTTTCCCATCTCTCATGAAGTTTCTTGGTGCACCACTGGATGGCACGTGTCTTCCAAAGTTTAAAGTAGTTCTTCTCCAAGTTTCCTGCAACTTGTGTGTCATTTATTCTGTTTTAACTCAATACAAAAATACTGCATAATTGTGGCAGCTTTCAAAAATACCAAATATGCAAAAATTTTCATTTGCTGTCTCTTAGGTCCAAATGTCTTCCTACTTTATTACCAGTTATATGCAGCATCTAGAATGCAGGGAAGTGTTTGTAAGTGTGTGTGTGTATGTATTAATTAATGACACTCATCTGACGCTTCTCTACAGATCAAAGAACTGGGATTGTGCTAGGTCATGTGCCCAGGCAAATTGTGGTAATACAGAACACAGGTTGTACTTGGTGGGCAAGTGAATCAGAAATCAGCAAGTCTTGTTTTCTTACTCCTTTTCTAGAGGGTCCTGGTATCAGGAGTTGGACCCCACTGTGGTGGGGGTTTTATGCTGGATGTTTTATTCTCTGCTCAAGGAGTCTTTCAGATGATGCTGGTTTCCATTAGGAATGTACACATACTCAAAATTATTGTTCTCTTCTCACTGGTAAATGAGACCTGCAAGATCCAGATTTTTCCACACAAATGCTAGCATTGGATATATCTAGTGAATATCTGAACAGCTGGTCAGATCATTGAGCTTTCTTTTACATGTCAGAATGTACCACTTTATTGATAATTATTTATCACTTTTTTTTTTTTTTTCTCCCAGATACTATAACAAGTACCAAAAATTGGATCTACTCTAAACAGAAATGAGATTTTTGGCTCTCAGCAGGAGTTAACAGAAGAAATGACCGTCTTGCTGCTGTGGCAGGGTGGTAAAACAGAACTCCTAACTAGTAAATAATGGTTGTATGTTATTTGAAATGTAGTATTACATGTTTCAGTAAGCTAGTAAATACTCAAATACTTTATATTAAATTATTTTGTGCAGCAGCTAGATCCTGTTCTGGGCATTATTCTGTAAGGATTCCATAAAGATGAGTCTTCACTTTGTTTAGATTTTTAAAAAGTTTGACTGAAGAACAGCAGACCAAATTCCTTTAATATAATTACTTTTGGCTCTCTCTGCCAAGATTTCTAGTTTTTTCTCTAGTACCATTAGTTTCTAAAGATGGGACCTCTGTTTAAGTGTTAACGTTGACTGTGAAGGTAGCTGCATGTCCTGGGAGTGGCCATGAAAGCATTCAGGTACTCTTGAAGACCCAGAAGTCAATAGTATGCCACTGTTAAACTCCTTGAATGCCTAGGTCTGCAGAACTTTGGAGGTACAGACTGTGAGTTCTGCTGTAATTTGATCTCCGAACATGACTACAGGTCATCTTCACCCTATCATCTCTGAGAATTGGCTCTTAACGATCAGCACTGTCACCATTCCAGGCACATCCACTGCCCAGCCACTTCCATCTCAGAGTCCTTCCTGTTTCATCTCAGGAATTTTGTAATACCACATCTCTTAGTCATTGTTTCTTCTAGTGGCTTCAGACTTAGAGAAAGTAAATGCCTTACATGAACACAGTGGTGGGAAAAACCCTTTTATAGGTGAACTGTTTGAAGAGATGGATATTGACATTCTGGATTTTCAGGTTACTGCTCATGCTGTGTCCACAGAAATCAAATTCCCAGTGCTTCCAGTTCAGGTTGTGGATTGTTAATTCATAAATGCTGTTCTTAATGTCTTGGAAAATACTGTCAAGAACAATTTTTTTTCCACTTGAATTCATTGCACATTAAAGTAATTTGGAGCCCTACAGTGTTCTCTCTACAATATCCTTTACTCAGACTTTATTGGACGAAAAGGAAGTTTTTCAATGTTTCAAAGTACTAGTGTGGCTTTCAAAAGTCTGAGTTTGTTTCTCAGTGTTATCAGCCTGGAAAATAGTTCTGTATTTCCTAAAAGAGCATGAAAAGAAGACATACAAAATCTACAGCTGTGGTTTGACTGCATTTGAAAATACCTGTGAAAGTTCAAACCCTGATCTTTTCCCCATTGCTTTGGGGTAGAAGGAAGTGCAAATAATTGCTGCTGGATTAGTCTGTGAACAAGTATTATATAAACATTCTAAATGGCTCAAGGTTAAAAATTATGCTGTTAAGCTATTTTTCTTTTAAGCATTAATAGAATGAGTTCTGCCAGTAACTCCTTGGAGTCCTGTTGGGTATGCTTTTAATTATCAATATCCTTGATCTTGCAAATACTAAGTCACTAGTAATTATGCAAGAATCTACAGCCCCTAGGAGACAGAGGTGAGCTCCTTGATGTCGCTGCAAGCAAAATTGAAAGTTACATATTTAGGAAGTTTACTTGAATAATCATCATAATGCTTATGGTGGTTATTCAGGTAAAGGATGGTTCAGAATAAAGATATGTTTATTGTAAGGGTATTCTGGAAATCATAGGAAAAAACACTTATTTTGCCCCAGGCCATTTGGTAGTGTAATACTAAAAGACTAATACTGGCAAAATAATCGGAAAGTACAAGAGAGGAAAACATGGTCTGTAACCGTGGAATTGACTGTAGCAGCCTGAATATTGCTGGGGTTTGTCTTTGTTTTTCTTCATGTGATGAGGCTGTATAGGAGGACAGAAATATCACGAACCACAATCTCTTGTCCTTCCCTTCAGTTATGAAAGCACTGCTTCTTATCATCTTTTGTCTCTTAGAGAAAGTGTAATTAATTACCAGGCTAGCTCTTTGCCCCAGGGAAGGAAATTCATTTTGAGGCTGCAACAATCCCTACTCTTGTTCTGCTGTTCTCAAAGGAAAGGCATTTTCCCATAGTTTGGTTTTCAGCTGAAAAATTACTACATAAAATTTCATTCAGAGTGGAAACTGGCTCTTCCATATTGGTAGATAAAGGTTATGGGTCATGGCCAGTTAATGGGTAGGACTGAGGAGGTTATTTGTGCAGTGATTCAGGAGAAGAATCTGTTCAGTGTCACCAGGGCTGCTCTGTCACATCCCAGACATGATGAAGTCTTAATGGCTTGAATGGAATTGCTTCCAGCGAGTCAGCCCATGCAAGAACTCTGATAATCTTTTATCAGCAGGAATTGTGCATGGCAGATGCATGTTGAGTAAATGTATTATACATAAATCTGTAAGAGGTTTTTCATTAACACTGTTCAGTTATTCTTGTTATCTGAAGTGCACTTTTAGGAGACTTTGACTCCAAGTACTCAGAGATGGTGGGAGATGTGTCTTGTACTGGAGCACTACAAGGGTACATGTACAGGTCAGTGGAGGGTAAAGCCTTACATGCACATGGCTCTGCTTTGGTTCATAATCTTTAGACACAGAAGAGATGTCTGGAGCCCAGATCAAAATATGCTGAATGTACACAAGTTCACTTATATTTAAAGGGACTCCATCAGCTTGAATGCAATGCACTTGAGTTTAGCTAAATCTTCAGTGCTCTAAGTTGTGAAACTACTGAAAGCTGAGTTACATACCCTGGCCAAAATTTTGTCATTTTGTTTTGTTCCCTGAGGACTTTTTGTCTTTGAGACTGTATGTATGTGCTCCTGTTGAAGCCAGGAGGCTTCCACATGGTGAAAGGATGTAGAGACTGGTCATGTATAAATCTGTGGCAGCCACATGTGTCTTCTGTACAGAGCAAGGGGGAAAAGATGCATCTAAACATTAATTCCTGTTTTGTGTTAGAATTGTCTACAACTTCTTGGTAGATGGACAACGAAGTTCCTACAGATGGGTGATAGTGAAGAATCATTCTGTAGAGATGTTACACATGTGCTCAATTATGCCTTAAAAATAATAATGCTTAATTTAATCTTACACCATACGTTGTTTTAGTTTAATTCCATTTTCCAGGCAAAGCAGATGAGTCAGTCAGTTTTGTCAGTCCATAATTAAGCTTTCTAACACGGTTGTATCTGAACAGTGAGACACTGAAGGAGACTGTTTGCTGTTACCAGCGTTTCTATTTCACTTAAGCATTACTAATAAAGAGTTTTGTAAAAAGGCATGGGTCCTTTTGATTTTAAAAAAACTATCACACCTTTTTTCTTTTTTTTTTTTTTTTTTAAATTCGTTTCGGAGTCAGTTGCCGGGCTTCATGTCCTAAATACTCTTGTGGATGGATGTTTACCTGTAATGATGGCTTCCTTTGCCATCAACTACACGCGTTCCACCTTCCCTGCAGGTTTTGACTCCAGTGCATCTGAGCTGTTCTGCTACAGCTGTGGGAGAATCGCTTCGCGCACCTGGAAGGAGAGGGGGGAGGAGCTGGATTTTCGAGGTTTGGGGTTAAAAGATGCCACTTTTCTCTGGTGCGCCCCTGCACGCCGAGTCCCGAAGGCGCTGGGTACAGCCACGGGAAGGATCTGATGCCGCGATCGTGACCTCCTCTCGCCTTCCTGGGCCTCCTGCCTTTAACTTCCGTCCGAAGAAGGAAAACACAACAGCGGCGTTATCGCCGCCCCCGGGGCATTCCTCGGCCCTGCCTCCGGCTGAGCCCAGCCGGGAGCGGGGGCTTTTCCCGCACACGCTGCGGCCGGAGGAGCGGCCGAGGCGGCAGAGAGGAGCTCCAAACTCGCCCCAGGCTCGGCGCTTCCCGCGGGCTCTGCGCGGCCCCGCTCTTCACTTGGGGCCGCCCCACGGGGCCCGCCCCTCCAGCCGGCCGGCCCCCGCTGCCTCCGTCCCGCCCCTCGCTCCCTCCTCCCCTCCTGGCAGCGCCGGGTGACTAATTTCTGTCATATGACTGTGACACCGAATGGAGCGGGGCGGGCGGAACTAGCCGCGGCGAAGGGACGGCGCTGCGCGGAGCCCAGCGCCTCGGCGGCGGGGGCAGCGGCAGCGCCCCAAAATGCCGCCCACCCTCTTCCAGAAGCTCTTCAACAAGAAGCACGGCCTGATCTCCCCGGCCAGGGACGCCCGCGACGACTGTGTCTTCAGGTAACCGGCACGGGGTCGCGCTGCTCCCCTGCCCCAAACTTCTGCTCCGAGTTCCTCGCTCCCTCCGCCGCCCGGGGGACGCGGGGGCTGGCAGACCCTTCCCTGCCCCATCGGCAGCTCCTCGGCGACGTGCCCCGCTCCCCCAGCCCCGGGGGATCCTTCCCCCGTCCTCCGCAGGAGCCCCGCGGCCGCCCCGGCCGGGCCCCACCGGCGGGCGCGGGGCGGGAGCCCTCCGGGACCGCCACGTCGGGGCCGCTGCGGTGCCTCCGCTCGGCTGCCTCCCCACCGGGGCCGCCGCTCCCAGCGCCGGGCCGTGCCTCGCCCCCAGCCCGCGGCTGCCTCCCCTTCCCCGGCGTGTGTGAGGCCCCGGTCCCCGCGGGCCCCTCCAGGGATGCTGCGGGCTGGGGGAGAGCGACTGGCCGGCAGGTCCCCAGGGAGCAGCCCCAGGAACGGGGAGAAAAGGTGAAGTTTTGGCGAAGAGAGGAGTGGGGCTTGTAGCGAAATTCGTCATGCTCTGACCGCAGCAGCAGCACTGGATCGGCCGAGCGGGGCCAAGCTCAGCGCGGGGAGCAGGGCAGGGGCCCCAGGGCAGCCGAGGGGCCGGGTGGGCTCGCACGGCCCGGGCCGGTGCCTGTGGGGGCCGGGGCGGGGAGCGGCTGCGTTCGGCTGTCCTGCGGGGCCTGGGGCTCGCCCGGGGCTTCTGCGGGTCGGTTTGCTTGGAAACAGGTAGCTTTAGTGCTGTTCCACGCGTGAAAAATGGTCAGGCTCGAAAGCGATGCCGTGTCTGCGTCCTGGCAAAGAGAAAACCTTCACTATCGTTTTAAAGTGCGGTTTGCCACCTAGATGGAAATAAAATCTGCTTCATTAGTAAGAGTTACGGGTTTCTTAAAGCACTTTTAAAAGTGTGGTGAAGCACACTCCCACTTGCTGCCTTGAAATTTACTGCCTACAAATGATCAGCCCTTGGGTTGCTCTGTAAAGGGACATCTCTGCCTGATGGCTTAATGCTGTGTGGTGGGATACCCCTTCTAGCTGCAGTATTTAGCAGTTTAGGTGCATAACCGTGTATCTGCGGTTATCTAAGCACAAGCGTTTTCAAAAAATATTGATTGGATTATATGAGTCTTCAAGGAGTCAAGACGTGCTCCTGGACATTATCTGGAGCTCACACAACTTTTGAGGACACTGGTCCCTAACTGCTTTCACACCTCTCTGATATTCACTGTGGAGTCAATCCTTTTTTTTAATGATCTTTTCTAAGAAACAGAATGTTTCAATGATGTCAATGTCATCTTATTTTCCAAATCATCTTAATACTGGACCAGAGCCCTTGGTGGGAATGGGAAGGGGTACTAGGACTGCTCTGGTAGCTGTCATGCCTCTTGCCCTGCCTTAGTGATAGGTTTGTCTAGAGACTGGTGGCTCAGGCAACAGCTGCAGTGCAGACCTGGGGCAGAAATGTGGGAATCACACCCGTGTTGAAAGGAGGAGAGTGAGTACTTGGCAAGGTCTGTGCTTTCCTCGTCACCTGTATCATTCTGTGCCAAACTGGGTCTGAAACTGATAGTGCTGTTTCCCTTTGCAGTATGAATTGTCAACTGGTAACTGGTGAATTTGCAGCTGGGCTTTTTTTTTGGTGGACCCACAGGTATAATTTGCAGGGAAAGGCTGATGAGGCTCTGGGGAGGGTGGGAGATCCAGCTCTGACTTAGGAGAGCCAGGTCATATTTTTGAAGATTAATACAGATGCTCTCTAGGCACATTACCTAATGGCTGCTTGCATTTTCCAAATGAGGCTAAGTTTGTACCTAAGATCACAGCTTGTTAGGATTATCAATTCCTGGTGAAACTTTCAGATAATACACAAAATAAGGACTGATATTTATGACAGCTGAGTCTTTGGAGACTGGAAATTAGAAGTTTAGAGTTAGACTGTTGCTGGTTGCAGTGAACCTGAATGCAACAGCCTCATCAATTCCTTTGGGCAAGGTGATGTTTTATGGATTGATACATTATATCTGTTTACAGTCTAAATAACAGAGCATTTCCCAACTACTCTGAGCACTGTTATTTCTGTCTGTCTTCGCCTTGAAAGCACAGGTCTCTTATTGAGAAGACTGTGTAGAACAACCATAAAAATGCATAAATTCTCTTACTATATTTTGTGAATAATATATATTTGGAGAGAAGTGCCCAATTACTCTGGCAGTGACATTACTATAGCAGAATATTTAAGCATGATTTTGCCACTAATTTTTTTTTTGCTATCAATATATTTTACGTTTCCATCAGGCTTATTGTGAAAATTCACCAGTTCTATTTATCTGACCTTACACTGTTTCAAAAAAAAAAAAACAATGCTTTTCAGAGGAAACATTTTGTTTAGTTGTTGTTTTGTTTGTGGTGGGCTTTAAATTTTTTTTTTTTTAATTTCCTGTCAAGAATCTCTCTCTGTGCTGTGGGTGTGTGAAATTTTGTGAGCCGAAGTGTAGACAAACTCTGTAAAACCCTTCAGGACTGGGTGCTAGAGAAGTTAAGAAGTTTAGTAATGGGAAGAGTAAGTTAGCAATTATAAAATATTTGCTGAGGTGGTAGTTTGCCATTTATATATTATATTTTATATATATAATATATGCTGTTTATTTTACAGAAGAAACTTTAGGAAATCACAGTAGATCTACTGCTTGTTAGTTTTTTAGCTCTTCCATTTAATCCAGGGCAATTGGCAGACTTGGCCCTTAGACTGAAATCTTGTGCTACAGCTTGACATTCACATGGTGAGCAAGAATATTCAAATTTTAGTGGTAAGATCTGTTTACAAGAAACACAGAAACACCTGCAAGTATTCTAGGAGGGAAAAGTTAAGCCCTTATATTCCAAGATGTAGAGTACCTGCTGTCTACTGCAAATAATACTCATGTGAGTGGATTTTCCCTGAGGGTAATTCTTACTATAAATAGGATCTCTTGGCCATATTGTAGCATCTGGCACAGACCGCTGCTGGTGACAGGAAAGCTCAGCCCAGGCTTGGGCTGTTATATTTATTAGGAAAATAAAATTTCAGGTAAGCAATTTTCTAGAATTTTATAATCAAAGTATTCCTACTGTAAAAATACATAAAGGTGTTCACACGAGCTGTAAGCTGTATGTATCTAAAATGGAGATACACTTTAAAATAGTAAATAAATGAACCCTGTTCCACTAAGATGGAAATAATCTTACAAAAACTTCCTTAAATTAAGCAGAAGCAGCCATGCATTTCTGCTGTATATTATATGGGCACACAAAACATTCCACTGCACATTTACATTACTGACTGCTACAGATAGTGATTTTCAGCTGCTGTGTCTTTCCTGGCTTTCCAGGGATCCACTTCAGCCCTCTGGAGAAAAGGAAGCTGGTAAGGCACTGAAAACTCAACCAGCTTTTTGTTCTTCAAGATGGGCTCAGTAGATTGAGCCCGAAGCTCAGTAAATTACCAAGAGGGCTGAGGCTTTATATCCTTGTCAGGATGTTTGGGCAGCGTTTCCAATGGTAAATACAGCTGCAAGGACTGCAGCAGGGTTTCTGCAGGAGCGTGTGTTGGGATCCTGATTGGACTTGGGTCACTGTTAGCATGTGGCAGAGGGAGTGGGATTGTCTTGTAGCACTGAGCTATGGGACTTGGACATGCTGGGGCTCCATGTAGGAGGGAACTCAGTAGGGATTTTTTCCATCGCGTGTATAAAGTTCAAATACTTGTTCCCTTCTGTCTCTAGACAGCCTGCCTGCCTAGCTGGAGGATAGAGGGATTATTAATCAGGAGTTCTTTTTACACTACAGCTCAATAAAAGCTTCAGTGTTTCTTTTTTTATTTTGATCTAGGGAACTCTAAAAGAACCATCTCACCCCGAGGGGCATTCCACTGATGTTTGCAAACTCTGTTTTGCTCTTGTTAAAGCACCTGTTGTAGAGGTACAGCTGTGTGGTGATTGTTCAAGCTTGACAGAACCCCTTCCAGTTTTAAGTCTTACCAATGGTGTGGGGTATCTTTGGGCACATTCTTCCTTTAGGGCTTTGCTTTGGTTATCTAGGCATTTTTGAGAATGAGTGCTGTTTTTCAAGCTGGGAGATACAGGAATAAATAGTTTTTAATGTTCTTTATGATAGAGAAAACCATTTTTGGTTGTCCTGGACATGTGCTTTCTTGGGGTCTTCTAGTAATATGTGCTGCTCCTTTATTGAGAGAATGGTTTGCCAGGTTCCTGTGATAGGACTGGCTTCAGGCTGACTGCAAAGTAGTATTTCCTGAAATCTGTCTAGGCAAGCATTCCCCATCAGCCCAGACTCTTTCTGTTCTCTGTGGCAGTGACTTTAAATGGTATCCTGAGATTTGTTTCCTTTCACATATTTTTTGGCAGTGGCATTCATCAAGGGAATTACGATAAAACTAGAGTTGTAACTGGGTAGCCTGATACAAAGATGCTTCTTCATGAGCCAGTTCTTCTGCAGAGCTATTGTTCTTGCACAGTAAAAATGGTATGTGCTTTTTTTACAAAAGCGTAATTGCTTCTTGAACCAGAGGCTAATTTCTTGAAAAAAAAGTGCAAAGAGACTCAGAGACATTTATTAATGTGTAGCCAGAGACTACTGCGGCTTTTTCAAGTGGAGGTTGGAGTACAGTGAAGGAGGAACATGAAACTTGTCTTTACATTGGTATTTCCAATCAAAAGTTTTACCCAGAGAACTTTTTTCTCAGGAGCAGGTAGCTTTGTGTACAGCTTGGCTGAGCCCAGGAAAGTGGATCTCTTGCCAAATTGTGTCAGTTCTTGAGAGCAACGTGGCCAGCAAATTCCTGATGCTAGCAGTTCTGCACAAGGCTTTTTAAAGTTGTTCCTCAGCAGTACATCAGGCCAGCCTGACCAAAACCTGTTGTTAATGAAACAGCATGTTTTGATGTTTGTTCATTTCTGGCGTTCTGTGAGGTTTTTTGTCAATATTTGTAAAACTCCTGGAATTTC